AATTTGATCAATTCTTGTTGCAACTGTATTATTGCTCCATGTAAACTTCTTTTCATAATGGTTGAGCAATCAGTATATATCTACAAAATTATGTTTTTTAAGCTATTTATGCAATGCTAGTTTTCTAGAACTCTCTATTTGTGATGACTTGTTTACTACTAGATTTACTATATAATTAAAGTCTCCCATTATAACTATAAGATTCTTATCTTGTGTTTTACTTATTTTTTCTCAGACTTTCATATCTATCTTTTTTATTATCTCCATATCATTTGGGAGATTTAAACAGAATTACTACTAATTTGTAGACCTTAAAATAAAAGTACACTATTAATATATATTTGTTTGGCTTCTCTATTCTGCCAATATACTTTTCTACATTCTCTAGAACTAGGAGGCTGATACCAAAGCCTTTCTTTTTAGATTTTAAACTGATCGACCATATTCCTTTGAAATTAATGTTGTCTTTTACTACAAATCCTGCTTCCTGCTCTTGCAGGTTTGTTTCTGTAACCCCAATTTTGTTGTATTTTTTTTCTACTGCCCATTTTATCAGAAGCTCTATTCTATGATTATGCACCTTAAGCCTATTAATGTTGTATATTGCTATATTGATCTGCTTAGCCAGTTCTGAAATTTTTGATAGTACCAGCTATGTTTGAACCTGGCTACAATTCGGGTACCTCTAATTGATGTGGTACCTGTGGCACCTCTCAGGAGTGCATGGGGCCTTTGCTTCCATTCTGATGTTCTTCGAGTGATTCTAGTCTTTTAAGAATTTCTTGCAACAGATCAACTTGATCTGCTTTATTTTTACTACTTTCTTCCACAAATTTTTTTTGTTCTTGGTTGGTACTTGGTCTTTTGCTTTTTCATTGCGTATTAATAGACTGAATATTCTTTCCCATAAACTTGCATTTCGGTTTATTCATGCTTCCTTCAGATGGTTTTATTATACTTCTAGATTGAATATCTAAGTTTTTTTTGTGTAGAACTAGATTTTCCTCAATTTATCTTGGCTTTAGATCTTCATGCTTATTGAGGTCCTGTTTTAAGGTTTCTTTAGCTTTTTTGCTTTCTGGATTAGTCTGCTGAGAGGGTCTACTTGAGTTTGTTTGGGGTCTTTTAGTACCTTAAGGATGTTGTATACTCATGGCACTACTGCTTTCTGCCTCTCTACTATGTGATCTCTACTTTAATTTTGTATTAAAATAGTATAGTGTTGACTTCTGAGCTTGTAAAAGGTCCTGCTCGGACTTAAAATACAATTGTGCTCTTCTACTTTGGTTACCATTTCAGTTTTTTAGTATATGTACTGCTTGTACTCTGTATTTTTTTAGCTAATGGAGTAAAAGGCTATCATATGCTGTTGATAGTACATTATATATAATAGTTTTGAATTTGTTTCACTCTTTTAGAAGTCCGATATCAAATTTGCCTGGTGTGACTCTATACATCTTGCCTTGGTCAAGATATACTAACTAATTTTCTCTTAATTAGGTTTCTTGCTTCTTAGCAAATGTTGTAATTTTAATAAAAGCCACCTTGCTTGTGAAGTTATATTGCCAAGCTAGAATAGATGCTATATCAAAATACTTAAGAAATTTTTTAATTTCTGCTACACTTGTTTCTCTCAGCAGATTCCAGAGTATAAAGAAATAAGAAGATTAATTTATGTACTCTTTTAAATGAAATCTCCCTTGGGTGCCTATACTGAGTTAAATATGTCTTTATGTTTTTTAACTTTTTTACTGTTTTTGCTTTTTGAACTGCTGTGTTTATCTGTCGAGAGAGGTTTAACTAAACCATAATCTAATATGCTGACTTCATTTTGTACTAGTATGCTTTGACTGCTTTCCAGCTCATTGTTAGTTGAAGTGGTTATTTTTTCATATTCAATTAGATATTTTTTATAAGCAAAGCATTTGATGTTACTTAGTATATTTTTTCCATAATTGCTTAATAGGGTAATTGGCTTAATAGAGACAATGTCCATCAGAATAGAGCTATTTTTGTCAGATTCTTCTTAAGTATTACTTGCAGTAACCATATTCCCTAGCAGGGTTTTCTTCTCATCTGAAATAGAATCATGCTTAAACTCTTTACTCTCTGCCTATTTATATCTTTCGATAACTGTGCAAATAATTGCAATAAGGCAAACATGTTCACTCCAAGATACTCTGCTACGAATTTGTCTTGTTTTAGCATTATTGGCTCTTGTTTACTGTAAAGTGCAAGTTTCTCCTCTCTTGACTTGGAGAAAAAGTTTCTATATTCATAAGTGGTGGCATTCTTATTTGCATATTTTGTATGTTCGCATTGTTGTTTGTTTGCTTACTTTAATCACAGGCACATCACGTGATTGTTTGTTGTTTTTGGTGATCTATATTACAAGGTCAAAGCCGATTTCCCAAAATTTACTTTTGTAGAGAAAATTTTTCCAAAAAGCAGTTTTTTAGCAATACATCTTTAACCAGTTGGTAGACAGACTAGAAGTACTAGTAAACTTTAGTTGGTTTTTCTTGATACTTCTTTTCTTTTAGTCTATAAAGTACTGTTCAGTAGTGTATTTTACTGTCTTTTGACTATTTGTTTTTAGCTTGATTTTGGTACAAGGATCTGCAAGGGAGAGTTGTTTGATAAATTAATATATTAATAATATATTAAATTTAATATTATTAAATATTTTTAAATTTGTTTAATTTATTTAATTTAAATTATAATATACTATATTTTATTTTTTTTTTAATATATTTTTTTAATATATTTTTTTTCATATACAACAAATCAACTCTTCGTAACGATTCTTCAGAACAACTTTTCAAAACAAAAATTTTCAACAAAAATAGTAAAACTATATTAAAAAAGAAGAATATAAAACTGACAAGAACTATAAACCAGTATCTATTATTTAAAGATAGCTCTCATTTGCTATCTGCTAATAGATTTAAAGCTTATCACTCACCATGAGAATACCACTTGTTATTTAGAAGTAGTTCTCATACACTACTTGCTAACAAGTTTAGAGTTTATTACTTATCAAAAAGAATATTAGTAGTGTACTCAGATCTACTTGTTTTACTACTTTTTAAAAAATATATACTTTCTTTGAAGAAAAGTACTAGATTTATACTCTTCACAATTACACACTTGCTTTTTTAACAAAATTTTTGTAAAAAATAGACAAAATAGCTTATCTCTGTTAAAAGATCATTATTGTTTACTCTTTTTAAATTTGGACAAACTAGTAGATTGCAACTACATGTATTGTTAGATAAACAGACATATTACTACTTTATATAACTCACTAAGAACCAAGTATTGCATGGCAACCAAAGACAGGTATATAGTTAGAAAGTAGTTGTACTTATGATTTTAATATGTATTTAGAAATATAGAAATATTGTATTTGTTATATAATTTTTTCTTAAGCCTGGTATAGATTATAATATCAGAAAATTTTTAAATTGATTTGCAATCGATTGACAAAAAGAAATGTCAATCAATAAGCAGCACACCTGTTAATTACTAGTGATATTGATTAGAATCAATTGACAACAAAGCTGCTAATTAAAATTAATTAAAATCACTTTAATTGAAATCAATTGATATCAAAACTAAATTAAAATTGATTATTTTTTAATCAATTGTGTATTGATTAGTTATCAATATTAATTATTGTTAATTATTCTAATCAATATCAATTGTCTCTGCAGCTAGTAATCAATATCCACCCTATTTAAAAATTTTCTAATGGATAATACAATTTGAATATAGGCTTTTTTACTTTTTGCCTTTTACTGCTTGTATAAAGTAGTATTCTTTTTCTCTGTTGGCCTGTTTTGGGCTTAACTTTTTATATATATTTTTTTTTTACAATTATTGGTTTATTTTTTTTTCTTAATATTCTTATCCTTTCTTCTTGTTTGTTTTTTATTTTATAATACTTTATTTTCTTTATAATATACATTTTGTATATTTAATACAAATTTTTTTTTTTTGCTCTTAGTAGAGAAAAGAATTAAAGTGTTTAAGCTTAAAATAAACTAACAGAGTTTTTTAAAGTTTTGGATTTTGTGCAACAGGTCACACCTAGGCCTGTTTTACATAGCCAGGTAATGCTAAGCTTGCAATTTCAAATGCATAGTTCAGTTTCAAAAAAAGGATTTATTCTTTATAAAATTATTATAATAATTTTGTATTTGAGCTTTGGTGAGACTGTTAAAGGTTTAAAATATAAATATATATATATATATTTAATATATTTTTTAATATATTTTTTTAAAAAATAATCTATTTATAACAACCTGTTATATACAACCTGTTAATGTTAGGTTTAGAGTTAGTGTTAGATTTAGGGTTAGTATTAGTATTAGAGTTAGTATTAGGTTAGGTTTAAAATTTATCATGATCATGTAATCACATGATTACATGACTTTCTGAACTTCTAATCTATCTCTCTGACTTGTCTATTTTTAGCTTATCTATAACTTGTATTACTTTGCTAATGCTTAGCAATACTAACTAAGCTCTCTTTGCTTATTTAGTAATTACTTGCTATAGCTAACACCTCCACATTGCTCCTGTTATCTAATGCTAATATTAACTCTAACCTTAACCCTAACCTTAACCCTAACTCTAACAAATCTTAGATTTAATTTTATTTTTAATCTTAGTCTAACTAATCTTAGTTTTAATTATATTTAATTAAGTTTATATATTTGGATTTTTTTTTTTTTTTTTTTTTTAACTTAGGCGATCTTGCCCTTCATTTATTCAGAGACAGTAAATATATAAAATTACTATAGCAAATTATAAACTAATCTAAGCTAGCTATATAAATGCCCTCCTCACTTTATTCCGGACTCACTCGGCTGCCCTAGGTGCCCAAGTGCGATCTGCCGCAATAGTATATTCTCCTCCTAAAAGAATGTTTTGCCGAGGCAAGACTCCATTCTCCTAATCAATGGAAGGCTACTATGCGCCTTTATCAAGATTGCCTACGTGTTTTTAAAACTTAACCATCTCTCTTTTATTCCACCTTTGATCCAATCTGATACCTTTTCTATTGCCTCCTCCTGCGCCTTCTCTTCTGTCCCTACTCTTGCGTTTTCCTCTTTGTTCTTCTCTTTTGTGTTATCAATATTTAAATATATACTACTTTTGACTTTCTTCTTTTTCTTCTTCTTCTTGTCTTTACTTTCAATCTTATTTTCTTTTTCCCATTCTATCATGACTTCGCATCTAAAT